TGAATATTTTTGTCATTTTTGGTGAAAAGTGATATTTTTGAATTCTTGTTGAAAACAGCAAGTCCCATTGCATTGATACTATGCATATTGTTCATTTTCTAATGATACCTTCAGTTCTTTAATTGAAATGTGCATTGCTAACAGCGGAGCTATCTCAGCCGATAGGCTGCTTGTTTATAAACTTTTTGTAATTTGAAAATCCTCGTTGCGGTGAGCTCAATATATTCCTAATACCCCCTCAATGTGATTCAGTATGCATTGTCAGATTAATTCACTGGTAATATCTATTGAAACGCCCAAAACGTAGATTAACGGAGTTTCTACCCGGAGATCTGCAGCGTCTATTTTCAGGCAATTATACATTGGTTCAAAATGGCGTCTAACCTAAAACGGAGAACGTCCATGGAATATACTATAATAATGGTCCTATGTGTGTGGATCTATCGAGCTGGCGCGGGTTTTGAATTAGGTAAGTGTGAGTATGTGAATATTTTGCTTGTCATCCCTCGCCCGACCTTGCACATGCGTGCATCTCGAAATTTTACATAACCTGTAGAAAATAATATAATTATTCTGGATTTGTGTCACTCACCAGATTAAATTGATTAATTTTAAATCGAAATAATAATGTAACAAGGAAACAAAAAGAGAATGTTTTTCCCATGTTGGGACAATGTTACCACGTTCTTTTTTGGGCGAAATAGTCATTCTCTCTCGCGAAGCGTTGATATATAACCTCCCACGCAATTCAGTAAAAAAATCACATAGGCCATTCTGACAGTGGAATTAACGGTATAGATATATATTCGGTATAACAGACTTGTGGTTCACAAGTCCTCGTATTGAATAAATTTTATATTTAATATTACATAAGTTTCATATAAAATAATACCACAATGCGTTATTGTAGTTACACTTGTGTGTGGAATTTCTATGATCGCTCCCTTCATATTGCATATGGTAATGTTTTTATTACTAACTGCCGAGCATTGAAATGCTCAGAACGGGGCAATATATAGTTAGCGCACCTGCCAATGTCCCGTCACGTGTTTTACAAAACGATATAAGGGACGGGTCATTACTCATTGTGGGGTGATGAGATTAGAATATACTGACAATGTGCAATTGTGTGCAGACCACGTGCCCCCTCGTGTAGAATATCTGTTAAAAATAATGGTCCTCCATTAGTATTTGTTGTTTTCCTATGACCATGTTTGCTACACTGTAAACCATGTTTGCTACACTGTAGTGTTTAGACCGAGTAACTAAGCGTAAACAGTGTTTATATATTTGTGTATAAGATCATTCGTATTTCAAAGAATCTAAATAAACACGCGAAATCGTGGGAACAGTTGGAGCATAAAAAGACTGAGAACCTGCGTCTGAGGCTCGTACACGGCGAATTGGCGCCATTTTGAGGACAACCTACATCCATCTCAATATACTTTGCTCGGTATCTTTTTGATATTTTACAAATTTACTCCAAAATCACTGCAAGTTGCGTGCCAATAATCTAGAGTTCATATCTCATAATTTCGTTGTAGGTCAGAATCTATATACACAATCTCGTTATTTTAAAACAGTGACAGTATTTCTAAAAATACTAGTAGTCAGGTAGAGTCTATATATAGATGTTTATATTATGACGTCATAAACACGGTAAACCTTGTCCTGTAATGTAATGTATACAATGCAATGCTCTATGTTCGTTAGTTAGTTATACACCAATACATACAAATAGATAATGTGCAAGATGGACACTCTTGCATGGCTATCACGAATTTTTAGGGAGTACGTGGCCATGGAAATATTTGGCCAAGTCAATGTAAAAATACGTTTTTCTTTCAGTCAGTTCTCTCCAACAAAAATTTCACACTGGGTAAACAAAAACCAAAATTGCTGACTTGCATCCAAATCCAAATTTTACTATAAATTGTTTTCCTCTATGTAATAAGTCGAAAGCCACGTCAGGCGAACGACTTAGACGGCTGAACAGAAGCCGTTCTTACCGACCATACACGCCTTTCCCTTACGCTGCTGTTTCATTCTTTAGTATCTTATATTGCTATTACAGTTCATCTTGGGCGTGAAGCGAGGGAATGTGGTGTGCAGATTATATACGGAAATCACCACTACGAAGGTGGGAGAATCCACGGATACCCGCTGAATGAGGATTCCCGGGCATTCACGCAGTGTAATGTAACGATCATTGCGGACAAGAGGCAAAAGCTCTACCTCCGATTTGTTGAATTCAGCATACCATCAAAGAAGTCCGACTGCAGCGACCACTATCTGAAAATATATGATGGTGATTCCACTGACATGCGAGCTCCGTTGCTCACTGGTCGCCATGGATTATGTAACAGCAATACAAACGGCCTGCCAGCGTCTGTTTTGACGACTACCAAAGCCGTGACGTTTCAGTTATACAGGAAAGACGTTATGAGTGAAACTGACTTTGAGATAATATATTCGGCAATAGAAAAGATAAATGGTAAGACAATAATTCAAGTCTTGGCGTATGGTACAATGCAAGAAAGTTGCCATGAATAATCGGAATAATAATGTATTAGCACTGAAACCCTTGGAGCGGTGTTTCCATGGTAACATCAAACACCATTCTTTTGTGTGCTTCATTTTGAGAAAATATTTTTTCAAAAATATATATTTTTAGAACAATTCCGCAGAACACAATGTCAAAAATTGCACTTGTTATCACTCTGTAAAACCATAGACCCTCGTCTATGGTAAAACTCTGGGTAATACAAGATAACAAAAAGTACCCCGACAGTAACGACATACGATTGTCTCACCCCATGTCACCAGCCTATAATTTTAGATATGACATATCTATGTTTTAGAAATCAATAGTAAGAGCGTTGCAATACTGACAAAAGACAGCTACTCACTAATATACATCTATAGTGTGTATTATTATCTTACAGCCACGAATACATACATGCACGGATCAACAAGCTGCAACTTTTTTGGCAACAAAAGTTGATCCGCGTATCGTGTTGCATGTTGACAGAGGAATAAAACATGTCTTTTATTTTCAATCAAGTTACTTGCTACATGACGACACTCTGTCAACAAGCAACAAAAGTTAATCTTTGTATTATGATTTTAAAAAATAGACTGGTAATCTCAAACACACATTTGAAGGTTTCCGTATATTCTTGGACTTCACTTGGATTAAAATGCATAAAATGGTGACTTTGTCAAAGATATTACGTAACATGCAAAATAATTTGATATGATACCGAATATGTAAAATTTCATGGGAAGATAAAACTAGTGTGTTCGATGGAAAAAACACATTGAATTAATTATAGTCCGTAGTTAAGACATTTTTCATTTGATGCGCCATGTTCGTACAATTCTTGCTTTCTAGATGGAGCTTGTTTCTTATGTTCTGACGATGCGAGTTTGTGTATTGACCCCTCTCTAGTCTGTGACGGATTAGAAAACTGTGAAGATGGGTCTGACGAGACTGACTGTCCAGGTCAGTCTTTTCTAATGTCGTGCACATTTGTTTATTTATAGTAATGTAACTGTGAATTATATTGATGTATACCGATGTTTTCCATGGCTGACAAGTATGGGCCGATAGAATTCCAGACTAAAATTAAGGACGTTTTTAAAAATCTGTGTGTAAGAAATGTCATTAATTGTTATTGATTTGTGGTCACTATTGAAATAAATAACATATCCAAGATGATTTTGAGACGGAAATCTCAAATGATTAGAATCCACTACAGGAACCACGTTGGTATTCCATTATAAGGTCACAGCTGCACGTTATTAACTCAAACGAAATTGGAATTGGGTCGTATGTTACGGATGATTCTCTCTGCTTGTTGTTGTTGTTGTTGTTGTTGTTGTTGTTGTTGTTGTTGTTGTTGATAACTTGATTTCAGATTATTATATGTAATACTGGTTCGTGTACTTATATTTCAGAAACCAAGATTCTGGAAGACACTGACGTTGGACTATCATTGGCAATATTGGCAATAATAGTTGTTCTGATGCTAGTGGTAGTTTCCGGTACGGTTTGTATCATGCAATGCCGCCATAAATACAGACGAAGCAGAAATATTCGCACAGACACGAATACATCTGACAATCACGTGATCATCGACCCGATTGGGTCCGATGAACACGAATCGGGCAATAACGTGCGGTACTTCTACGAGAGCGGCGCAGTTGAGAACTCCACCCAGATAGCAATGGGATGATAGGTGGTTTCCATAGCGACGTTGGTTTAGTTGAATACATCGAGCGCAGTTTACATTATATGAAATGCGCCTCGTTTATAATAGATTTTTTTGCTATATTGTACACTTTGTTTGAAACAATGGTTCAGAAAATAGGGGAGACGAAAACACGTACGACAGAAGTTGATTGATATATGATGTCATCTATACAGACTGCGTCTAATAGTGCGTAGAAGAAATTAATCATTTTACAAGCACAAACATGTTGGAACACTATAAGCTATAAGCTATGAAAAGACCGAACTTATGTTACATATGCTGAAGATTATCTAGAATAAAACACATTTTTATTGAAATGTATGTGTAATTCGGGGGTGTATTTGTAGTTTGGTTCCAGGGCCATTTATCACGGTAGCGCACTCGGCTGATTCACGGGGTCACGGAGTTCATTGTGTAAGTACGAACTGCCCCAAGCCAACCTAAATATAGGTAGATGGTGGGTTTATCCTACAGATGACGGTCACAGTCATGTTTTCATCAATAGTACTAGTGGCCAACACTTGTAACGTATTTAGATTTAGCAGTGGTGAAGTTCCGTTTTTTTCGGAGAAAACTTTCACAATAATCATAATTGCTGCTTGCGTTATTGTTATTAATGTGACCAGTGACAGCACAGTGAAATTCGCGCATATTGTTTAGCGGCTGTCAAATCTTCCATCACAGTAGATTAAAGTGAAATCTTATCACTACGAACTCACCATGACCTATATGGGGAATATTCAAAATGGCGCCCTTCCTGAAAGGGAAAATCGTACGGGAGTCTCTAGTGATTTTGCTGATGTTAAGCGTGTGTGTGGTTGTAAAATCATACACAACAGGTGAGTTGATTAAGTGTTCACGTTTATTATAAGTGAATCTTTTTTTAAATGAGCAAATGCGTTCACGGGGGTGTCGTGATGAAATGATGTCAAGATGTCGATGTCTGACCCCAATTACATACTTCGATACTGTTGTTAAACTTTTGAAAATGAAATCAAACATACGTTATTAATTGATAGCCCTAAGTTACATACCCCTATCATTATTTACGTAACTGTATTTATGTGTTCTAAACGCGAGTACAAGTACATCTATCTCTTAAGGGTAGGCCATTTGCATTCCTGGGTAGGGCTTGGTGGAATGTACTTATTTCACATCATGATGTTTTAAATAATTTACTACTAGGACGGTATATGTAACTCGCAACACTCTAGATTTTGTTCTCATGAAAATGAATTTTACGATTGTCTCATCCTCAAATTGTCCACCCCTCCTGATTGTGATTGGCCAACCCTTTTTAGTAAAATATATTGCTACATACTGTTTACAATGTTGCTACATTTTGTTTGCATGGAGCATGTTTGTCTATTGTCTTCGCCAACAAGGCTCGGCGTCTATTCGGTCATCGCCTCACCGCTATCTTTGCAGATCCCGTTTAACACAAGCTCCCCCGTTGAAAAAATTATTCAATTTGTTTTTGTATAATATAAATAAATCATTAACTTAGTCTGGCGATTTTAAAGTTTGGACCCCCCTCCCATAAAAAAAATCCTGTATCCGCCCCTGTCACATGCCCAATATGTCGAATGTATGAGTATGTTTAAGGGACTTCACAGAATTTACAGGTCATGGCCGATGTTTTTCGAAAGTCATATACGTAAAAACATTTGACCCTTTAAAACAGTTGTATGCTGACCTCCACTCATTGAGTAACGCATTGAACAGACGCGATGGAATTCTGTTTGCGCATGCTTAAGCTGCCTAGCAACGGGCGCGGGTAGGACAAAATATGAAAGGTAAAACGACCAACGAACAGACAACTCTTGAAGACAGCAGCGGCATATTTGAAACACTTTTAAAATATCGTCGATTGAGTGTTGGTAAAACCAAACAAAAACGTGAATTACTAATGTTTTCTTGCAGAGAAAACAAAGGTACGTGTGTTTCGCTGAGTAAATATGATCGTGACCGTTTTTCAAAATACTCCCAAAAATATGAAAATATTTCGCTATAGGCAAAGATAATTTGCATGTTCATTTTTTCTTACTTAGGCAGAATGGTGTGTACATTTTTAGAATGTGGAAGTACCTTGCTGAAACCTTATACCTTGTAATTTCGCGATGGTTTCTCTGCAAATCTTCTAAAATAAGGATATTTTTTTGTTTTTAATACAGTTATAATGACTAATGACTTAAACAGTCAGTGCGGTGAGGCCATAAGTGACGTCAGTAGCGGAGTAATCAAGTCGTATAGGGAGCCAAACTATGCGACGAATTGGCACTGTGACGTCACGATCGCTGTCCAAACGGACCAGGTGGTGCTTTTACGGTTTGAAACTTTCAATGCATATTCAAAATATGACGATTGCAGAGACAATAATTTGAAAGTGTACGATGGAAGCAATGTATATAGTCAACTTCTCACCCCCAATAGTGGTTTGTGTACAGGCGTTTATAGTACGTCATCTGACGTTCCAAAATATATCTTATCAACGGGCAGTTCAATTACACTGTATCTCATACGTGAGAATACATTGCATACGGAGTTCAATATTATAGTTTCCGCTGTTATGAAAATTGAAGGTAAGGTTTCTCACTCTAAGCATTGTAAAATACAGATCCTTTTTAACATGGGTTCTCACCAGGCGTTTTCTTCAAGTTGTCATGCTTCTGTTTGAATGGAATATGTTGAGAACTTGGTAAACACGATATGTATGATTTATCGTAATTTTAAGACATTGATACAGTAACAATACTTTGCAATATCCGTCAGTTGCAATAATTAAAATATTAGTGAGCATGTACATCAAATGAATGCAGAGCGCATCATGATGCGTATTTGCTTTTTACAACATTCAATCTAACGAATACTGCATGTTTACCCAAAAACAACGTCTTAAGTTCATCATAAATCATCACTCTACTGTGTCTACCAACAATACTTACTAGAATTATTTAAACATACTCAAAAACACTCTAAGTTATCCATATTTGTCTATTATATTCACACGAAATGTAGTTCACATTTAATACTGTTTTGTGTGTTACGTCATTTCAATATCATTTTAAAGTTGCATTTCGACCTGATTTTGATTCTGTACTGTTCATGGCACATCTTATACAACAGAATCCTGAAATCGAACTTGATGGATCTTGTGAATCTCGGAAAGTATCCACAACAATGGAAACCATGTCTGACTACCTTCAGTGATTCAATATTCCGAGATTTGTTGCCATGCCAACTGATTCAATCAGCGGAATGTGGTCTATAAAAATAAAAGTTGGAATGCAATGTGAACTGAGATTAACTATTGCATACACTGTACATGTCATTCCCTGAATTAACTTTTTGGTATTTCAAAATCTGTAAATGTACACATTTAATAGAAATATGGTGACTCACGAAATCGATGATGGCTCTACTTTAAAATGTGATCATCCTTTAACATTCATAAAATATATACACGTTACCCTGATCTTGTCACGTGATTGTTTTTAACGTACTCTAATTCACACTTTACTCATCTTAGATTGCATGAAGTGAAGCAGATGTTATGTAATGCAGTGACAAACCTGGTACAATACTAATTTAATTACGCATGCGCAGTACAGTATATCCGTAGCGTGCATGTAACGTATATAAGTAAGCTACACTACGTTATATCTTGTCTGGTTAGTACTAGTATATCAGTAACGTTTGTATAGTCTTCAAGCTTATTGCTTGTCACTGTCAACACAACCAACCAACCCACTCACTCGATTTTTATAAATATTTATACATTTCATAATTCAAAACTAATAACGGGGGTTTTATTGGCAGATGAATTAACAATGGAACATTTTCAAATGACTTCGTTGCACGTGTTGGTTGGATTCAACTGCCATTGAATTTTTAAATGTTTTAAATGTATTAAAATACATATTGATAACAAACAAACAAGGGACGTTTGTACGGTACTAACCAAATTGGAATTAACTTTCAATGGAATGTATAAATAATTATAACAATAAAGAGAATGTGGTTGTTGCATTGACAGTACTTACCAATTTGTTTTATTAATTTCAATTACACAGGTAGCTTTTGTTTCAATTGTTGGGACAATTCAAGCTGCCTAGACCCTGAAGTGAAATGCGACTCCATCAGGAATTGTGCAGATGGGTCAGACGAATCTACAGAGCTAGAGGGTGGATGTTTTGGTAAGGCATTTGAAAATATTTAGACAGTAAACCTAATATTTATTTTTATTTTTTCTAGTAATATTCCACTCTCCACAACAGACAGTGATATATACATTCCGCAACTCAGTCTATATGCGAAGACATGGGATTCTGAAAGTATATATTTGTATATTACGCCATCACCAGATTCATTTGGATGAACTACACACAAGCTATTTACTTTGTTTTTATTGAACACACATTTTTACTTTGTTTTTATTGAATATGCATTTTACTTTGTATTGAACATAACTATTTACTTTGTTTTTATTGAACATAACTAATTACTTTGTTTTTATTGAACATAACTATTTACTTTGTTTTTATTGAACATAACTATTTACTTTGTTTTTATTGAACATAACTATTTACTTTGTTTTTATTGAACATAACTATTTACTTTGTTTTTATTGAACATAACTATTTACTTTGTTGTTTTAACTCTCGGTAAATTATACACGCATATGTCAATAATATTTGTTCTGTCACTTGTTTCAGATGGAAATAAAATTGCTGCTGATGTCACCAATCCTCGTCCATTCATCGCTGCCGCCTTAGTGGTAATCGTTATCGCACTTATTATTATAATCATAGCCGTGTTTGTCTGCCGTTGCCGTCGTCAACAAAACCACCATCCATCTGCTCGAAAGCGCGCAACTGACAATGCTTCCTCCAAAGAATGTTCAGCACACCAAGAATACCCACCCAAGCAGGCTGTTCATTCAGTTAACTACCAACTTGCCCAGCCTAGCTACCAACCTTGCCAGGACCGCTACTCGTCTCGGTTTGATAGTTACGATGAGGATCAGCCTTACTATTATAATGATAGTTACCCACCCCACCAGGACAGGTATCCATCCCCTCCGCCAAAATATCCACCACAAGGAGGCGACCCGTCACCTCCTCCAGTTTATGCTCCGAGCCAGGGTGTAGCTTACTACCCACAGAAAGATCACGTTCTACTAGTTGGATCAATAAGAGTTTAAAGCGCAGTGGTCGTCGCGCAGCGCGTGTTCAAATTTCATGTAAATAAACAATGTATTTTACACGCGTTGTATACGTCGCTATGAGTCCCATATCGAACAGGACGCGGCGCGACGACCACCGCCCTTTAAACATGCGGAAACCGTACATTTGACCATTACTTCAAGAATATATTTTGCTTTTTTTATACAATTTCACAGATGCCGTAACAAGGAAACTTACCAATCACGTTTATTGCATTGTATTATTTGCAGGGGAATCAGATTATAACATAGAATACATAACAGATTTAATATAAATAAACAAATAGAACAATATTGAAAATACCTACTGTAACGCAAATACAACTGAATGTTTTCGCAACGCAGACCACAGTTGAGGAACAGTCATTGTGCTCTGACAGCTTGAATGGTCATTGAACTAATTGCTGCCTTGTTTCTAAAAGATCTGTAGTGAGTGATTTTTTGGTACTAGCTAGTTGAACCATCAAGTGATCAAATTGTTTGACAATGTAATTATAAATTGACATGTTTTTTTTTTTTTTTTACAAATTACTTAAGTGGGAGTGGGTACTTGCTACACAGGAGAGCAGATTTCTTGGTTAAGTCTAGTTGCTAGCAGATTCCAATTTAACTTTGTAAGTAAATCAGTTACATGGAGATCTCTACATAATAGTATACGAGCTGCTCAATTAGGTAGTTTCTGAAGTCGACAAAACTTGGTTTTTGCACGCTTAACAATACGCTTTCACAGTAGTCAAATGGTATCTGGATCTTGATGACGAGCACGTCTCAACACTCCTAATTTACTAACTTATTTTTACTAACCATACATTACATATGAACTTTACACGAGGACACTTTTTCAATATAAACACAAAGATACTGTGAAGCAGTGGTTGTTTGAGATAGTAATTCAGTATTATTGGTTAATGTTTATAATGTCAATGAGCGACAATTTAGTTTTCTAGTTTTTAGTTGAGATCTAAAAATGCAATATCAGTGACTTTATGATCAATGTTTTTTTTGTAAATAGTCACTAACATCAATTAAAGTGGTTTCTGTGGAATGACTTTGTGATGATAACATATTACGTAAGCATGCATTTGACTGTGAATCCCGCGTTCAAATATCTTTGAGACAATGCAAACTACTGATATGGGTCTAAAGTTCCCGGATAAGCAGGATAGCCCTATTTATATATTGGAATCATCTTTACTTTCTGTTCGTATTTTACCTGTGCGAAGTAAAATAAGTTGACTATGGCGTACAAAATGTTTTAGAAATCGTGAATTGATTCCGATAATCCCAGAGGATTTATGTTATTATAATGAAGTATTAACCTTTTTAAAATTTCGTTTCGTGGTGCAGATAAATTAGATGTCAGACTCCGTTGAACTGTGTGTATCGTGTAAGATACGTGTAGTAAAGTAACGTTATGGGACGTCATTGATCATTAAAGTGTGTGCATTAGTTTATATATAGAAGTAGACTGTCAATAGTCAATATAATATTAATCTGTTATTATTAATAAATAGTGTGCATAAACGTAATATGCGTGAATAAATGGCGAACGCCGCGCCGGGACGGGAAGTATGGAGTGCCTCGCGTAAAAAGCTTCGTATTTCCCATCAAACGTCTTCAGCGTTTGAATGTCTAGGAATTACATTGGGCCCGAGGACTGTCGACAGTCTAATATAGAAGCAAAAAATACCAATATGTTTTGCAATAAGTTGTAAATAGGGTACCCAGCCCATTTTTCGAAATAATTTTGTGTGTTTTAGTGAATCACTAAAATATAGTGGTTTAATACGTGTTCCCATGATGGAGAAATTATGTTTCTAGTTTATCGGCTGATAGACTGTTGACAGTCCTCGGGCCTAATTGTGTATTCTGGACATTCTGAAGCGTTTGATGCAAATGCGAAGCATTTCAAGTGAGCGACTTTAGTCCCGAGACTAACGGCACTAACGAGACTAACGGCACTAACGAGACTAACGAGACTAACGGCACTAACGAGACTAACGCAATTTATTCACACCTATTGCGTTTATACACAATATTTATTAATAATAACAGATTAATATTAGGTGCGACCGATTGTTAACAGTCTAATAGGCTGGTAACATGGATTGAAACAGTTATATATAGTGATATGGTACTTTTTGTTATTAGAAATACGCCGTCGTAGAGCCAGTGAGAACACAAGTGCTCGCATTGGCCCCACGACGGCGTATTTCGTTTGCGATCACACAACATTAACACTCAGACCTAAATTCTAAACAGAAGTTCTTGTGAACACGCACAGTGTTATAAACAGTGGTAAATGCCTTCTGTCTACGTCCATGGCAACAACTTGACGACGACAGATACACGTACCGCTCTGGTCAGTGGACTGAGTAGTCTCGGAAATAATTTGATGATAATGAAGTCCTACTACTGATTTCTATTTGGCAAAGGGAAAGTATGTTTAGATTGATACACAGAACTTCTCGTGATAGCCAAATTTACAGAATTATTGCAGAAAAAAAAAACGAATTGGGAATAGATAGACCCGCAGAACAGTGTCATCGAAAAGTAAAATATCTGAAGTCTAAATTTAAGGAAGTAAATGACAATAATAATAACCATGGTGGTAGGGTCGGTTGTATTCAAACACGGACAGAGGCCATGCTATACGGGCCTTATATAGAATTGCGTCGGCGTTTTTACCTTGCCCGTACCATCAAAGATGGAAGGGAAAGGTATATTAAGGGAAAGATTTTGTCCGGCGTTGTCGTCGTCGTCGTCGTCGTTGTCGTCGTTAATAATTGTTATTGTGTGCATGATAACTTTACTAATTCTATTCCAAACTTCATCAAACTTGGTCACCTTGTTCATCAGTATAAAGTCTTCCCTGAGTTTGAACAATAGATGTCCTGTATGAAAATATCATGCAAAAATTGAGAAAAACTGATAAAATATTTCGACTGTTTCTACTTGACTGATCACTGGTGATACACATCAAAGGTCACTGATCTCAGTGGAAATATGCATTGTTGTATGTGTTCAATGAAGCAAATGATTTATCTTGTAATAATATCCTTGGTAATGTATCTCAGAATCCCTTACTGGGTTTCAAAACCAACTCATGGAGAGATTGCACAGTCTGGTACACATTTGCAAACCTACCAATAAATCTTTACAGAAAACAAGATGTCAGAAAATCAATATAAGCACTGCTATTCAGTTCATTCGACAAATGAAAACTCACAGGAATATGTTTCAGCTATTAGAACAGAATGATAGAGTATTTATAATACTAGTTTAAAAACTCACTTCAAACAAAGATTGCAGTGTTTGAAGATGTAGGTTCTCAGGAGGCAACAGTACTGTTGACTTCTCCCTCCACTGGACACCAACTAACTATTTAAAGCAGAGCTTGCAACATGATAGCTATTCATAAAGGTTTTTTTTTTTACTTTTCATATAATACAGTAGTCACACAATGAGGCAGTTCATATTTGTCTCAGTGAATCATTAATTTTTGACAGACACCTGTACAAAATACTTGGACAAAAGCCAGCTAAGATTTTCTGTTATCTTGCATGTTTTATGAATCTAGTCACGTCTAAATGCAGCACTTTTTTTTTGCAATGAGGCATTTGTTTTTATACTAAAATATCTGAATTACTTTGAATAAAGCTGGAAATTATGTCCCTTAAAATAATTAAACAAATAAGACACCAATGTTTTTGTAAAATATTTACATCTTTAAAGGACATTCGGTAGACTGATTCCCCACTGTTAGTTCAACCCCAAAACTTTTTTGTATTCAAAATTAATTATGACAATGTATATTTATATTGAAACAAACTATGTTAAAGGGAATTATATTATATAACAAAGGGCAAGGTCACCAGAGTTCAACTATGTTT